TGAATTTAAAGCTGGAGCCGCCCCTGATGGAAAATACTAATAAATAAAACAAATAGAAATCATCAATCAAAAACTCAGTTTTCTGTGCATATTTAGAGCGTTCCAAAGCCCATCAACTGCTAGCAAAAAATCACAAAATCAAACTTTTGGTGTATGCGACAGCACGAGCTCCATTCAAGCCGTTCGAAGGCCCATCTGGCATCTGGAACACCAAAAGGTACCTTTCAGGTCTGAAAAGCTGAGGATATCCTGCCCCCACCTTTTCCTGAAAAAGCGGGCGTAAATCGCGCTTCGAGTACTTTGAGAAACATGTTCGCTCTTAGTTTATTCTTGACTCTGACTAACTTTGAGCGAGCTTTCACGATCATTCGGTGCGCTTTTGTTGACATTCATTGACGATCATTTGTTTTGTGTACGCGTTTTTTTGTGCATGTGCATCATCGTCTGCTTGGTTTCACCGCTAGTTTTTCTTAGGTAAGACCCAGAGTTTCCGGTTTCTTTTTTGCCAAATAACCAAATCCTCAATCTGGAGCTTTTCCTCAATCATCTTTTTGTTTCAGTCCATATTCTCGCTTCAACTGAGCACCTGGAGGTTTTAAAAATGTTCTTTTAGTTAATTCGATAAGTCTCTGCGCTAGAGCCCCTTTCAGGTGCTCTTGAAATTGCAGCAAAAGCTCCGCTTTCAGACTTCACCATCTTAAACTAGTTTAGCGCAGTTTTCTGCTCCACTCTTTGAGGCTTTCCAGCACTTCTGGAAATATTTTCCTAAACTCCATCCAGCTTGCAGGCTTTCCCGCAATCCAGAAACACTTTTTTGTTTTTATTCACTCAGCAGCAGAAGTTTCCGCAACATTCGGCTGATTAGCATAAACAGTGATTTCTGTGTTGGTGCTTATGCAAGCCTCTATTAACTTTTCTTCGGTTTACTTGTGGGCATTCTAATTTTACACGTCGTTTCCAGCATTCCAACGAGAACTCCACGTTTTTCGAATCAGGCCAAGGTGCAACACGCCACTTTCGACTTTTAACACAACTTAACTTTCGTTTAATGTTTAGTGTTTTTTCATGCTGGCAGCTCGTCAAAAGATCGAATAATTAATCGACAGTCACATATCGGCAAGTGGTCATTTTTCATCTGGGGTTTGAAATGCCACGTTTATTTTCTGTGGCTTTGCTAGATTGAAAAATGCAAAAAACATTCTTCAAATTTGCAATTTGGCTCAAACTGCTTGCTGGCCAATTCGCCTCTATGATTATCTAATTATAAAATTATGTAAACATTTATATTTTGGTTCCTCATGTTCAATGTTCTTCTATTTTTGTAACAGTTTTGCACATTTTTTGCTCTGTATCAGAGGCTGAGGTTTCAGTAGTTCAATGCTGGCAGTTCCCAAGAAACAAAATCGGAATCGATTTATGGCAAATTTTCCCCCTCAAAGTGGGTTCAATGTGGACATAAAAATCACGTTTCACAATTTCTAACAAAACTTGTTACCTGCCGAAAATCCGTTAAGCAACATTCGATAACTTCGGCTTTCGACAGTTTCGATCCGCTGGCAAATTATTTGATGTGATTCGTAAAATCGTAAAATAAATTTTCCGAAATCCACTCTAAAAATAGTATATATGTATATCGACTTTTCGTTGGAAAATGATGTTCGGGCCGGCGAGCGAGCTTTTCGTTCTGTGTGTTTGATTTGTTTGCTCAGAAAACCGAAAAATTGTTTCGATTAATAATGGTTGATTTTTTTATGATGGCAGCAGGTCGCTGAACGCTCAGTAAATGTTTGGCGATTCTTATAAATGACAACAGTATTTTTGGATAAGAGCAGTTCCGGCTATTTTCAGGCTAAACTAATCGATCTTAACGCGGTTTCTTTGAAGAGTTGAGTGACTCAATTAATCTTTGTTAATTGACAATGAGTTTTTAGACCACAAATGCTTCCTTCCTGCAATTCTTTTCAATTAAACCTGGATTTTTAAAGCGAAAAACTGCCAATTTCTTGCGCCGTTCAACCAAGTTCTGGCGAATCTAGAACAAAAGAATGGATAATAATTCTCCCTGAGCAAACAAGCCTGACCTAGTTATTTTGCTGCGGTTTGGTAATTGAGGATATTGCATTGAAACAGACGTTGAAAACTTCCTAAATCTGAGCAAATATTAAATATTTATAAATAAAGCGGGAGTTTTAAAAATAGCCAAAGTCATGCACCTACAATCCTAAACAAATGGGAAAAATAATAATTTCCAAGTCGGTTTAGTTTCGCTACGAGCTTCAGAACCGGATTTACGGGCCATGGATCAGAATACAGAAAATAATATTTATAGGCATTTTTAATTAAGCAACACTCTGTATATATGTCGGAAAAAATGATAAGACTTTCTTGATAGTAAAGTATGTTTGAAAGACAGCTGAAATTGTCTACTGTGAAATTATAATAAATTTAAGGCGAGATCCTAAAATCTGATACAAATAAAAACACTTTTTACAAACAAGAAAAACTGTCTGCACTCGACGACAATAAAAACCGGCCTCCAAAAATTAATCAAAATTTCAAAGTTGAAGGCCTTCAACACTAACAGAAGTTTTCGAACTTTGAAATTTCGATTAATTTTTGGAGGCCGGTTTTTATTGTCGTCGAGTGCAGACAGTTTTTTTTGTTTGCAAAAAGTGAAGACTGGAAATTTTGTGGAAACGTAAACTCCTACACCCAAATACACTCCTGTACACTTAAGTAAAACATGTGTTTTGGAATTAACTCGTGCTAAAGTTATATTTACAATCGTCAATAAAATCTTAGACACATTCTTAGACAGATGCAAATATGTCTACTCAAATGTTTGTTATTTCAATGTTGTTAGTTAATGACTGTATTGAGGTGTGATGGTTAATTTCGCAGTCGTTTTTTTTTGTCTTTTCTTCATTAATCTGTTAGATAAACTGTCGGAAACAAATTTATTGGAAAAATATGGTTGATTATGAGCAGACAGCCGGTACAGAATGAGTCTGGAAAATTGCCTGCACACACCATGATCAGCTCCCAACTTTTATCGAGATTTAGCAAAAAAAAATAATCCAGCTGACGGAAAACAAAAGCAGTTCCAAAAATACAAAACCCATCTTATAGCTATTTTTATGATATTATTTCAAGATTTATCGATTAAAAATAGAATATTGCCATCAGAAAAACATAATTATACATCCTGCATTCCAGCTCTATGCTTTATTTATGGCCATTCGCTTCTGAAAAGCAGGAATTCAATCTTTATTCCTTGCATTCAACTGCAATCAAATCCGCTTTGAATCTCCACTCATTACGAACATGTTCGATCAGGATGTTTTGTTCTGATGCCCTAAAGAAAACTTCCTGCCAAATTGATAAAAATCCTCACGTTTTCACCAACTATTTACGACTCTATGCCTAGTTTTAAGCAGGGGCATCAAGTGACGCTCGATCGCCATTAATATTACATATACTTACCTACTTACCATTTTTGGAGCAAATGCAATCATGTCGTTAATAAACGATCTGATATAATGATAATCAAGCTACTACGTTCGATTCAATTCGAACTATTCGCTACTCGTTTTGGGTAGAACTGTACAACATTAATCGTCCCGAAGTCCTTATACAAGTTCTTAAACTGTTATATGAAATGCGCCAACTTTTCTGTTTTAATGCTGTAAATTTAAATATTGTCCATCTTCAACAATTAGTTTCGTAGCCAATCTTATAGGCCCTATGTGGTCTTTACTGGTGAAATATATGGGGTGATTGTTTTCGATCGTTGAACAGTTGGCATAGCAAATCAATCATCCTGTATATACTAGTGTTTTTCAACATGACTAGAGCCAACTGACTAATTGATCTATTTGGACTGAACTGAAATTGACTGCCGCTCTTTGGCACATATCAATCAGCAATCGTACCTAAAGTGAGCTTTGAGCTGCAGTTCCTTTTTAAGAAAAACAATGCCTTCGAGTGAACAATACGAAAAGCCGGTTTAGCCAGACGTATTTGTGTCATCGCACTTTGAAATAAAAACACGAAAAAGCTGGTTATTTTGGGATTCGACAATTTACGGTTCGTAATATTGCAGTTGGGTTGCGTTTTGTGAAAACCGATTCGGCGTGGGTTTCCTACAAATTATAGGCGGAAAATGTTGGAGCAGCGTCAATGAACCACCATTTATCCAAACTCCGATAGGAGATTAACTGGGGCAGATACGAGAGCTTGAGCTTTAATAGCATAATTGAGTGGCAAGAACAATTGATGGTTCTCACATTGCTGTTCTTAAGTGCTTAAGGTGGTAGCAGAACTCACAATTATTTCATTTAAGCCACTTGGTGTTTATTTATGCCCCAATAAATGGAACAAACTATCGAAAGCACTCCAACACTGTCTAAAGAACCCAACTTTATGTAATTTGTGATTGTCAATCCCAAAACGTTGTAACTCACGTTGTTACGACTGAATCGACTTTTCAATTCGCTATCCAACGATGCCAAAACGAATTTTGTGGCTCGAATGGTTCTTGAGAAACTTGGAAAAATGCAGCGTCATGTTGTCAAAAAAAAACCATGCAAATCTAAAACTCCTTGAATTCAAGCATTTTTTGAGAAAACTGCCAACATTTCGTTATCGATGGTTCACTTTCTAAAAAGGCCATTTATTTC